CCTCTCTCTCTCTCTCTCTCTCTCTCTCTCTCTCTCTCTCTCTCTCTCTCTCTGTGTGTGTGTTGGGGAGAGGACAGAACAAGTTCTGTGACTCTAGTGTGACTCTCAGCTCCAGGGTACTGTCTCAGAACATGTGATCCAGGGCTGGTGCCAGCTCAGGAGGCTCAACAAACAGGAAGCTCTGAAGGTGAAGCAAATAGAAATTGCTACCATTTAGGAGAGTCCTTGGGATTTATTCTCCTAAATAATAATCACTGAGGCCTGCTATACTTCTAACGTTTAGAAAGACAGTGAAGAACTTAGTAACCAACGTTCCAATTCATAGAATATTTATTGGCAGCTCATTTCATTTAATTTCAAAGTTTGAAGGTTTTTTAAAATTTATTTTTTCTTTTGAGACAATCTTATGTAATTCAGGATGGTCTCAAATTTGCTATGTAGCCCAGGATGACCTTGAACTCCTGATGTTCCTGCTTCCACCCCTGAAAGCTGGGACACTGCCATGCCTGTTTGCGAAGTCATTAACTTACTGGAGAAAGTAGAGTCATTGTGTAGAACATATGAATTATTTGCTGATCCTCTTTGTTCCTTCATACATTGACTCAACCAATATTCCTTTGAATGAATATATACAGATCGCCACAAATGGATACGCAGTACAGACTCATGGTATGCACTGGATAAAACAAAGCTTAATAGCCAGTGCTACTGTGCACAGCACTACGGGTACTGAGTACTGCTCAGAGAGTGCTAGGTACCAGGGTTCTAAGTGCTCTTCACACTTGTGTGGGCAGCTGCTGGCCAGGCTGGGAAGAATGGTGGGGGGAGACAGCAGCATGAGAACAGACTCAAGGGTTACCACCAAACTTCTTTGGTGGAGCAAGCAGGGGCTGGATTAAACTGGCAGTGGCACCCATTCCAGCTGGAAAGATGGGGTTCCTAGAGGAGGCTACTGAAGAGTGTCAAGCATCAGGTGGACATCCCTCTCTGCTGCCATAGGACTTCCCTGGAGGAGGCTGAAATGTTGCACGAGTCACACAGTAAGTCTGACAGATAAAATGCTCCTGGTTCAGGGTGAAGGGCACAAGCAAGCACAAACCTGCTTTTGATAAATCTCTTCTAACATGGGAGAGCCATGTTCGTTCACCTACATAACTTCTAGTATCTCAGTTAACTCAAAGCAAGCCTGGGACAGCAGTCTTTCTATACAGTTATTTCTTGACAATTGCAACTATTGGAAAATATATCACAGATTCCTCCCATTGACACTTTTCTCTTTCATCAGTTCTTCAGTAGTAAGTTGTTTTATAGACTCTCTTCACCTCTCCCTTCTGTGCTATGACAGATAGCACTGGCCTTGCTTGTACCTGACCTTCTGGGAAAAATGAGGCATTATGGGAAACCATTGCATCTTGGGTAACAGCATGTTGCCTTGGGTCACAGGGCCTTAGACAGCACACATAGGCTGGAGGCTATGCTGAAATATTTAGAAAAGTAAGCTTTCTAATTTTTATTTAAAAAAAAACAAAACAAAACAATACATTGCTACTGTAAAGTGCCCACGACCTATCCATAACAAATAAGCACATATGTGGACACTGGGTGGCCATTCCTATTTCTGTCTAAGTGCCCAGTATTTTTACAAAAGGGCCTGCAGCACTTGCAGGGTCCTGAATAAATTTCCTCTTGAATGATGGGTACTCTGTATTTCTTGGTGTCTTTGGAGTCTCTCCATATTATACATATGAGCTATACTTGCAACTAGACAGTAACACTTATAAGAGATTCAGAAGTTGCTGCCTGATGTGTGTGTGTGTCCATTTCTCTCTGTCTCCCCCATCCCACCTCCTCCTTCTCTGGAACCTGGGTCCTTGTGCATCCTGGACAAGGGCTGTATCCCTGATCTGTATCTCTAGTTTGTGTCATATACTTTCAAAGACACGCCAAATAATGTTTTCCATAAATGGCATTGTTAGGATTGGATATAAAATATCACCATTATTTATCAGGATTGAGGGATTCCCATAATCCTAGCACTCAGGAGGCTAAAGCAGAATTGCAAATCTGAGGCCAGTCTGGGATCCAGAATGAGGCTCTGTCCAGAGAAAATTTTCTATAAGTCTCAGTTTGGGGCAGTACAAATGGAACATGGGGTGATCCGGTGATCTTTTGTTTACAGGAAGATCTGTGTCTGAATGGGGAGATGAATTGGGTTAGAGATGGGACAGAGAGAGGAGCGTCCATCCTCCTGGGGTCAGGGATGTGTTCTATGTCCAGCAGCTCAGGTTGGGGACAGCTGCTCCAGCTGGGTTCTTTGAAAGAACTGGGAAACATGGTTCCCCCGCCCCCAGACAACTCTCCAGAGCTACAGTCAATATTCTTAGGTTCTGGAGCTTTGCTGTGTCAACAGGGAACAGGAGGAGGACCTTAGGAGCTGAGATTTGGATACGTTTACCCTGGAGGGGCAATGGAACTACTCACACTGAGGTTCAGATACATTTACCATGGAGGAGCAATGGGACCACTCACACTGAGGTTCAGATACATTTACCCTGGAGGGGCAATGGGACCACTCACATTAGTGCATCGGCTTCCCCGCGAGGGTCCTTCTTTGGGGAGACACTACTGTTGCTGCTGCTGCTGCCTTTTGAAGAGGTCTTAGACCCACTGAATGTACTCCGCGAACACTTGCCATCTTCTCTAAGCAGCGATGTCTTCCCCATGGTGGGCAGGCAGTAGATGTACAGCACTCAGCTGCCCCAGGCTCTCAGTGGGCTTTCATCAGGAGAAGCCATACAGCAGGTCTCAGATGCTGCTGGCTCCTGACTCCTGGGTATGCCTGGCCCTAGGTGAAGCCCAGAGTATGTGAATCAGAGGACAATGGTGGCTGGGGTTATAGGTGCCTCATCAGGCTCGTGAGGTACCTAGGGAAGTGTCACAGATTCCCCACCCAGGACTACCTTAACATCTGCCAGGACACACACAGACTTTCAGCCTCTTCCAGATCAGTCCTCGATGCTGTGGTCCACCGGGAACACTGACCAGGAGGAGGAAGGTATCATTAGACCGGAAGTTCTGGCGCCTAGCTGTGGGCTCAGGCTCAGGGTTTGTTGCCTCTGGCAAGAAGCAAGCCACAGCTACCTCACAATGGAGGCTACCCAGGATGCAGATGTCACCTATACCAGCATATCTAGCTGGAGGTAAACAATGGATTGTGCCAGCTCTCTCAGATCCTCTGCGCAGGAGGACTGTGTAGACTACCACTTGATTATGAAGGGAGTGAAAGCACACGTTTAAAAGCCATTCGTGGGCTTGAGAGAGGACTTAGTTGGTAAAGCACTTGCCATGCAAGCATGAGAACCTGAGTTCAATCCCCAGGACATACATAAAAAAGCTGGGTGTAGTGGTTCAGGCTTGTGATCCCAGAGCTAGGGAGTGAAGACTAGAGGATTCTTAGGGCTCACTAGCCACCCAGTCTGTATGGCAAGCTTCAGGCCAGTGAGAGCTCTTGGCTAAAACAAACAAACGAACAAACAAATATAGAAAGGTTGGTTGGGGCATACTAGCGCATGTCTTTAACCCCAACACTCTGTAAGCAGAGGCAGGCAGATCTCTGTGAGTTTGAGACAAGTCTAGTCTACAGAGTGTGTTCTAGACTAGCCAGGACCACATAGTAGACCCTGTCTCAACAGCCACAACTCCAACCATGATAGACTGAAATTCCTCAGGAACCACAAACCAAAATAACCTTCTTCTACCGTAGACTACTGTCAGTTACTTTTTGTTTAGACAAGGAAAAAGTAACCAATGACATCACTCAGGGAGCTCCTGCCCTGGGGACAGCCCTGCCCCAGGGACGGTGAGCGGTAGTGTAAAGCAGGGTGTGTGTGTGTGTGAGGGGGGGGGGGAGACTGGGTGAATTCTGAACATTTTTTTTTATTCAATTATTTTTTTTTCTTTTTGTTAAAAGATTATTTGGAGAACATGCCACTGTGTGCTTGAGGTCAGAGGACAACTTGTGGGAGTCAGTTCTCTTCTTTCAGCATGTGGATCTCAAGGTTTAAACTCAGGTTGTTAAGTCTTGACAGCAAGTGCCTTTACCTAGTGAGCCATCTTGTCAGCCTCTATCTATCTATCTATCTATCTATCTATCTATCTATCTATCTATCTATCTGTCTATCTCTTGTGTGTGCGTGTTCCTGTGCATGTGTGTGTGTGTGTTTTGCAGAATATTTGATCACACTGTGAACCCTGAGAACCAAAACTGTTTCTAGTTGTGTTGAGGCTCAGTCCTTAGCAAATACCTTTAATCCCTCTGGCTGGAATACAGCCGTGCCCTTAGCACACATCCTTAATCCCAAACAATGAAGGTAAAGTAAGTTTGTAGAAGGAAACAGCCAAGTTCGAAAGACATCTAATTGAGTGGCAGGCAAAGTGATGATTCAAAGAAAGATTTAACAGATAGGATATGCCCAACTGTTATGAGAACGGAGAGGAATGGAAAACTATTTAAGGAGCAGGGCAGAGAAGGAAAAAAGAGGAAGAGAGAGAGGGACACAAACACACGCAGAGAGAGAGAGAGAGAGAGAGAGAGAGAGAGAGAGAGAGAGAGA